TGCGCGCATGATGTCTCGTTTTTACCCAAGCTCATACTTTCTGTCGCTACTCAGTCAATCCAAGAAATCAAGGCTTCACGCGAGCACCTCCGATATCTTGCACAGTCGGCAAAATTGACTTCCCATCACGGGGCTCTACGAGCTGGCTTTCCAATCAGACAAGAACAGATGCATCACATATAGATCAAGCACTAAGGTTTATCATCATGATTTGATTGAACTATACAAAAGGCGCAGCCAACAGAATGTAATATTTATATACAAGAAAACTTTTCCTCCTCACGTCTCACTCAGGGCGTTCGTTTCATCTTCCCAGGTCCTACGACTGGTAAGAGTCGATGAAGGAAGCCCTTCCAAGCTTCTGAGCATGGACATGCTCCCTAACAACAACAGGGCTAACAGGCTTGTGGCCGTTCATCGCACGCCTGGTGGGGGCGTCGTGACGGCGGGAAACAGGCTCAGAGCGGCCACGCTTGGAAGCCGATCCCTGGAGGCACTGGGAATAGTAGTCGTTTTGCTTCACGCACTTCCAGCCGGAGGCGCAAGTGGTAGGACCGGTGAAACCGATGCCACCGCAGCGTTCGTAGGCTCCGGCTGTGCTGGGCTGGGCGGGCTCAGCTGGCTCAGCGGGGGCGGGTGTGGTGGTAGGAGCGGACTCAGCAGGCGCGGAGGGAGTGGAAGACTCGGCGGGCGAAGAGGGGCTGGGAGAGGCAGAAGCAACGGGTGCCTCGGATTCAGCAGGTGGTGCTGACTCCTCAGGTGCGGCGGTAGGGGCAGCAGACGCCGCCGCGCTGGTGGGCGCTGCGGATGAAGCAGCGGGGGCTGAGGCAGTAGCGACTGGTACGCCGGAGCTGACCTCTTCAGGGGTAGCAGGAGTAGTACCGCTGGCGGGGCTACCACCAAGGGCCAGGATGCGCTCGGCAGCGGCCTCGGCGGCAACCATGACGATGGCTTGAGTGTTACCAGTGGGAAGATCGGGGTGGATGGAGGCATCGACGACGAAGAGGTTGTCGGTACCGTAGACCTTGGTGTCAGTGTCAACAACAACACCAGCATCTCCCTTGGTTCCCATCTTGGCAGTGCCGACGTAGTGGCTACCAGTCTTGAAAGACTTGATGAGATCTGCGCCAGTGACGTTAGAGACACCGGCGGGCGCTTGTACAGTCAGAGTGGAGTTGCCACCCTTTGTCATGGCGATCAAGCGGTCCATCATCATGGTAATGGCCTCAGTGTCGACATCAGAAGTCATGTGGGGGTCGGTGATGAAGGAGGTGGCGCCATCAGCAGTGATACCGAGGCTACCAACAGACTGAAGACCGTGGGTGATGTAGACCTTCATCTGGATGGTGTTGTCGGAAGGCGAGTTGCAAGTGCCCTGGAAGAAGATCTCGCTACCATCAGTGGTGTTGACGGATGACCACCAGTTGAGACGCTGACCAGACTGAGCGAGCATACCGGATCCCTTGGCAAACAGATCGATGGTGGTCTGGTTGGGAGTGATGAGCGCATCCTTATCGGTTGCAGCAAGAGGTGTGCTGGTGTTGAACTTGACAGTGAAAATGGGGTGGTCCTTGATCTCAGCACCAACTGGGAGATCGATCCAGTCAGCCTCGTCGGGGAGAGTGACCTTGCTGCTGCCGCTTGCAACTGTCTTGAGCTGGTCGGCGGGACCGATTCCGGAGTTGAAGAGAATGCGGGGAGTAGACATAGATCCGGCTGCGAGGATAACGCTACCTCCCTTGTTGACGTTGTAGATGATGCGCTTGCCATCCGCCGTCTCGACCTCAATACCAGAGACCGCCGATCCCTCACGGACAGCGCGGACGACGTTGGTGTTCATCATCAGCTCAAAGTTGTCGAGCTTCTGGGCGAGGGGAAGGTAGGTCCTGACGACACCGGAACGGAGACCGTTGGCGATGTTCCATGTGGGGTGGCCGTAGACATCGACCTTTGCGTTGGGGTCCTTGACGAAGTCGGTCTCGGTCCAGCCCTGGCCCTCGAAGAACTTAGAGAGGACGTCGTACGCGCCATCATCGTAGCGGACACCATCTTCGGATCCGTAGGTTTGACCAGGGTTACGCTCGTACAGACGGTCAGCCGCCTTGGCGACATCGGTCCACTTCCAGCCAGCGGGCCACTTGTCGTCAAAGTCGCGCTCCTGGGGCTTGACGTACATCATGGCGTTGATCGCAGTGCTACCGCCAAGTAGGCAGCCAGCCATATCCGCAGTGTCGGCGCAGTAAGCTGGGCTACCGACATCGCTGAGATAGTATCCGTATCCAGGAACATCGTACATGGAGACAGTGTCGTTCCAAGGCATGACCTCAGTCTTGCCAGTGAACGCGTACGATGGGCCACCACGCTCGATCAAGAGGACAGACGCGCCACTCTCAGCGAACCTCTCAGCTGCGATGATACCGGCGGCGCCACCTCCAGCAACGATGTAGTCATAGGTAGAGTTTGCGATGGTGGCTGTGGTGTTTCCACCGGCTGGGGCAGTCGAGTTGCCACCAGCTCCTGGGGTAGTAGAATTACCAGCGCCGGGGGTGCTAGGGGTGCCAGCTACCGCGAGGGCAGCCCACTTCTCGAAATCGGGGCTAGTAGCGTTGCTCATGGGCAGACCGAAAGCTCCGAAACCAGCATCGTGGTAGTTGAGAACCGCGCCAGCAGTCGAGGAGTCTGCGAGCGGCTTGTCAGAGTAAGCCCAACCCTGAACGTTGACGCTTGGGTCCTCGTAGATGACAAGGCCAGTAGATGGGTCGTCGCTTATGCAGTTTGAGCACAAGAATGTGTATGAGAAGGCGGTGTCGTTGACGAAAGTACCGTCCGGGATAGGAGACATGGTGAAGTCACCGGTCTTGACAGCTGGGTTGGTGTAGCCAGTTGCCTCCCGGAAGGATGCAAGGACCTTGTCCTCGTGAGGCCAGGCAACGACCAGCAGGTTACCGGTCATAGATTGTCCCAGACTGAAACCAGCCCAACCTCCATCGTTGGTGATGGGTGCTTGAAGCTGAATGATGACATCCGTAGTAGGCTTCTCAGGTAGAGCATAGCCCAGCGTGTAGCCGGAAGAGTGATGGTAACCCTGGAAGGTGATGCCCGTCTTTTCATCCGTGAACTTGCCAGATGTTTGCGCCGATGCGCCAAGAGCCAGAATGGCGGTGGAAAGAAGGAATGAGCGTGCCATTGTGACGCTGTGAGTGATGATTGAAGTGGAGGAAAGAATGGTGTGGCACTGCCGCAAAAAAAGAGTGTGAAGCCGTCAAGGCTGTAAAGAATGACTGGGAAGCAACGTTCGTAGAACGAGCAAGTAAAGCGAAAGAATGGACAAAAGCGAAAGAGCGTGTACCGAATAAGTCGCCGCAAGATGCATCCTTATATGAAGACAATACCTATTGTGGACCATGTTTCCCTCAATCTGCCACTTCCAAGGATGAAATCCTCCTCTGACCTAGCGCCCGTCAAACAAGCTCATGATGCAGCCTCACCACGTTGTCAACCTGGAATCTGGACCTCCGATGCCCAGGAACATGGTTCATAGGTGGCGCTACAGGTGTCAGAACGGTCAACTGGCGTTTGCACCACTGTGCTAAGTAGATTGGGTGGAGCTTGGACGGAGATATGCCGACGCACTGTTCGGTAACACGGTTGCGTTCATTCGTCGACGAGGATGTTTCATGTTTCCATGGCATGAACCTGACGTTGAGGTGGATGCTAGAGCCGTTTCGAAACGTCGCCAAGGCAGGAACCGCTATCCTTTGCAAATTGCGCGTGGGTCTCCAAGCAAAACACCATCTGCCATGGATTGCGCTCGCAGTTCGTGGGCTTGACCGTTGAGTCGGGTGTGCCTCCTCGGCTGTTGCACCCGGTGGCTGCAGGAGTCAGTCTGCTTTGATCACGGTGTGGCCCGAAGCCGAATGCGAACAGCCATGGATCGTGTCAATTTTCGGCGTCGGTCGTTCTGCAACAATCAAAATACGGCAGAACGGCATTTTCGAAGAATTGCATCGATGCAACATTGGGATTTTGAGAAGGTGACGCGCTCAAAGCCGACGGGCTTTCGCGCGTGCATGCTTCAACATCGTTGCGACGACGCGACCTGCGATTCTTCTGGTGGATAAGTACGACATTGTAATCGGATAACGATAGTGTGATGGCTGCTCGATGCTCAGCCGTGAGCGACGGGACGAAGTTGTGAGGTTGGATACGCCCAAGCAGCTACCGTGCTAGCGGTATGCCGATTGCCGACCACATGGGCACGGCGCAGCAGTTGAGGACGTGGACCTGTCAAGCATAGACTAGGACATCGATGGGTTCGAAAGGTCGTTCAACTGTCTCCAAACTAGGTCGGTGGGTGTGTTCGCTGAGTAAGGAACGAGTCGAACGTGCTGATGCTGCGGAGGTTTACAAGTGGGGTAGTCGAACCTCGGCCCAGGATGTCGCCTCCCGGCAGCTACATACCATAAACCACATCTAGGCATACCAACAGTCAAATAGAATCCACCATTACAACTTGATCCCTCCTGCACGGAGTCTATCGCTTTTCATCACATCAAAATGGCGAAAAATGAGGTTCCAGCATATGTCCTTGGTGTCGGGCTCACCAAGTTCATCAAGCCTCGACAGACGCGCGCATATCCGGAAATGGGCTACGAGGCGGGTGTGAAAGCAATGCTCGACGCACAGATCAACTACGATGAGGTTGAGACCGGTGTTGCGTGTTACTGTTACGGCGACACCACTAGTGGCCAAAGGATCTTCTACCAGTTCGGCATGACGGGGTATGAAAGTCAATAGCCTTGTCCTGAAGTCTTAAGGCACTGACAGCTATCAGTATCCCAATCTACAACACAAACAATGCATGCGCCACTGGGTCGACTGGAATACATCTGGCGCGAACCCTGATCAAGAATGGAGCAGTTGACTGCGCGATGGTCATCGGATTTGAACAGATGCAACCAGGATCCATCAAATCTGCATGGAGCGATCGACCCTCTCCCATGGGTAAGCTCTGGCTGTACGAAGTGCATGTGTAACATATACTGACTTAGTACCCCTACCTCTGCAGGGCTCTCAATGCGTATGATGGCCGACACGCGCGGTATAAGCAACTCTCCACCCAATGCTCAATACTTCGCCAATGCCGGTCTTGAGTACATGGAGAAGTATGGCGCCGAGGCGCGTGACTTCGCTGAGATTGCACGAATCAGCCATGAACACAGCCAAAAGAACCCATACGCGCAGTTCAGGGATGTGTACACACTCGAACAGATCGAGAAGGCTCCTATGATTCACTTCCCGTTGACCAAACTCCAATGCAGCCCGACAAGCGATGGCGCGGGTGCAGCGGTTATTGTGAGCCAGAGATTCTTGGACGCCAGGCCACACCTGAAGAGTCAAGCTATCCTCATCGCTGGCCAGTCGTTGATGACAGATTCACCGCAACTCTACTCCAAGTCATCGATGGATCTTGTTGGTTACGATATGACCAAGCGCGCGGCGCAAGCAGCTTTGAAGGAGGCTGGCGTCAACGCAAAAGACATCAAAGTCGCAGAGTTGCATGACTGCTTCTCAGCCAATGAACTCATTCTACTGGAAGGCTTGGGCTTCAGCGAGCCCGGAAAAGCACACATGATGGTGCGCAATGGCGACATCACATACGGCGGCAAAGGTCCCATCGTCAACCCGTCAGGCGGTCTCATCAGCAAAGGACATCCTCTTGGTGCAACAGGACTCGCACAATGTGCGGAATTGACATGGCAGCTTCGTGGCTGGGCTAACAACCGACTTGCTGAAGGGGCCGACGCCGCGCTGCAGCACAACCTCGGCTTGGGTGGAGCTGTTGTCATCAACGTCTACAAACGTGCCGATGGCAAGAAGAATGCGAAGATGAGTGATGAGGAAGTCAAGAAAGCGAGTCAATTCTCCTACAACCCGGCTGTCGAGGCGCGCTACGTGACCAAGGAGGATGGAGAGAAGGTCAGGAGCAAGACTGTGGCGAGCGAGTACGCTTTGGGCGATACGCTAGAGAAGATTCAGAGTCGGTTGTAGACTTCACATAGTAGCAATTGGATGGTATCATGCGGATTCAGCTCGCCAACCGTTTCGTGTTGCTGCTAAACTTCTTCGAATGGAAATTTTGTCCTCATTTTTTCCTTACTCGGAGGCTTTAGCAGCATGACAATTCTTCTTCTCGGTTCTCGTGTAAGAGACATCACCTCTTCTTCTTGGCAATGCAGTTCGATCATCTAGTTAATTGCGTTTCTTTAGTTCCATATTTAGTTGTTTAAAGAAGATTTTGGTAGGTATTACACTACTACTATGCTAAGCAAAGATACTGTCGCCCTCGAATCATCTTCAAGCGTGTTAACCATCTAGGTATGTCGACTAAGGCGTTGCTAAACCAGAACTTTGTAGGTACTGTCTGTCGACAGAGATATCATCGTAGAATTCGGGAGAAGATGGCTATAGTCCAACTTTTTGCCGTGACTCTAACATTAATAAACCCGTAGTACATCGCGATTGTCAAACAAGAGCTGCACTAGGGCCGCTTGTGCTTGCCTGTTTGTAGGACGGAGTCTTGCTGTCTGTAAGACACCGCCGCCTCGCAGGAACAACATCTACACTTTCTCGACCCAGCCCCGCGCAGTGGTTGGCCAGCGTCGTCCACCGGGCAGTCGCTGCGACTCCTCTCTCACCGTCGGTTCTAAGCGACGTCTATCCCTCTATTACCACCGTCCAGCTATAGATTTACCCCACACAAATCGATGTCACATGGGCGCTAGTGGGTTGCAATCGACCGTGCGTCTTTGTTATCGAGTGAGTGTATATAACCAAGCTTCCTCGGTGACAGACCACTTATCCTCCGCAACAACTGCCAGTTGGAAGCGGTTACCCAGGCTTACGTCTCATTACATCTGCGGCTTATCATCAAAGATTTCGAGTATACACCTATTCCATCAACTCCTGATCACTCCGCTTCATGACTCGCCCGATTGTCAATATGGATCATTCTTACTCTCCAGAATCGCTTGAGCGAATGTCGAGTCCAGAATGGGGCCTAGAAGATGACTCGCCGCCACCTGCGCCTCGAGTCGTTGAGACGCGTGTGAAGTCAGAGTCCGTTGCTCCCTTACACCCGGTAAGTAAATCGTCACTGCGCCAGGTGTTACGACAAAACCATCGCGACGACCTCCACGCTTCCGTATTAGCAGTTTGTTTGTATGAGAAGGTTGTCGCGAATGCTCTCGCGATAGCTTTCATGTTTACAGTACTAATCAACCAAACAGACGAGTGTAGACGCCGAGAACGGCTCAACCGCCCAGGAAAGCATCTTTGTCTCCGACGACGACGTCAAAGAGGTGACGCCCGTGAAGCGCCAACCCACCAAAGTCCAGACGATCCCCGACTCATCAGAAGACGATGAACCCATCGCCTCCACACGTCAGCGCCACAACCTCCGCTCATCAGCGCGCAAGCCCACCAAGCCGTCGCCAAAAAAGCCCGCCCCAGATATTGCCGAGAAACCCAGTCCACTACCCGCCAGACCGCGACCCATCTTGAAAAACGACCTGGTCGCCAAAAAAGCCGTGATCAAAAGCATCGAAAGCTACTGGGGCAAAAACTGGGTCAAAACTCACATCCCCAAATGCCACCGCCCCCTAGTAAGTACCCACACACTACCCTCCTACTCCCCACCCACCAACACTCCGCAGTACAAAAACGGCACAAAACGAAACTACAACCGCGCCCACGAAAACGACCCCATGAAATGGCTCCCCTTGGTCCTCAAATCCATCCTCATGGTCGCCAAGCTCACCAAGAACCGAAAGTGGCTTGCGGCCACCATGAACAAAGTGGTGCGCTACCGCGTCAAGAACACCGGGAACAGGAAGCCACAGCTTTGCAGCACGGACTTTGATGTCATGGAGGATATGTTGGTCAAAGACTGGGAGGTGGAGTATGCGTTTGGGGTCTGGTATAAGCATTTGCTTGTTAAGGCCAAGGAGATCCAGACTGAGGAGGATGTGGATAGGATCATGAAAGTTAGTGAGGAGGAGGAGGATGGGGAGGAGGGAGGTGATGGGGGTCAGGACAGTTCTGGGGGGTCTGATTCGGAGTCGGATGATGATGAGAAGAAGAAGTTCGGCGGAGGAGCTTCAGAGGGTCACCGGGTGATGGGTGGTCATCACCAGTCCCCTGCCTCGACGCCGCGTGATAAGAAGCACAAGACACCCAAGGAAGAAGCCGTCAAGGAGGAGTCGCCGACGCCTCCTCATCCTCCGCCGCCGCCCGGTATGTATGGTGGCTACCACGGCCAGCAGCCCGTTGACCCGTGGGGTCGTCCGATGATGATGCCTCCGCAGGGTGGTGGGTTCGGTGGTTATGGCGGTTACCCAGGCTTCAACGCCTATGGCTATCCACCTTACGGCCAGCCCCCGTTTCCGAACCAAGGCCGCCAACCATCTCATCCATCTCCCTTCCCGCCTTTCTCTCGCCAACCACCACCAATGGCCTATCCGCCCGGTACCCCAAAGCCTGCGCGCGCAGGTCGCGACACCCCCACGATCAAGCGCGAGTCGCCCGGCCTTGACGGCGAGCAAGTCGACAACTTCGGCAATCCAGGGGTTTTCGGTCACGAAGGAGCCATGGTCAAAGACGAGGAGAGCGTCAAAGCCGCGGTGGCCGTCGCTGAGGCGGAGCTCAAACTTGCACACCTTCGTGCCATGCAGGCGAGCCTGGCGAGCATGTCGAAGAAGTAGAGTTTGGCGAAGGTAATTTTGGTAACGGTTTTGACTTCCCTTGGGTGAAGACTTGGGGCTGCATGGTCAGTAAGAACCAGTTGAATTTCCTGTTCTGATTGATGACGAGGCTGTGAAGCCCTCGAAACATCACGAATAATGTTCGATACATGGCGAGATGATTTGCGGTAATTGGCACTAGGCCTTAATAATGGAATATCATGGATCTATCTCATATCTACGTGTTGCCTAGTAAACCTCAAGTACGTAACGACCATCATCCTTCAACTTGTCAATCTCCTTGCGTCCATCAATCTTCTTAGCGCCAACGTTCTTGACCTTGTGCTCGACTTCGACAGCCTCCTGAAGCACCTCGGTGACATCAGGTACCGGCCATGTGGGTCCACAGAGGTAGAAGCTACCCTCCTTCTCGAGGTACGCCCTGCGGATATCCTTCAGGGACTCTCTCATACGGTCCTGGATATAGATCTTCTGAGGCTGGTCACGAGAGAAGGCGCGGCCGAGGAGGGTGATGATACCGGCGTCTTGGTATGCCTCCCATTCCTCGCCATAGAGGTACTCCTCACGCTGGTGACGAGAGCCCATGTAGAGTAGGACTTCACCGATCTCGTGACCCTGCTGCTTCTGGTAGGCGCGCTCCTGGACAAAGGCACGGAAAGGCGCGAGACCAGTTCCGAGACCGGCCATGATGATGGGCGCGGTTGTCTTGGTAGGAAGCTTCATGACAGATGGCTTGACGGAAACGGTGACAGGCGCGCCAACCTTGAGGCTGTTGAGATAGCGAGTTGCCTGGCCGAAGCGGTCGCGGCCCTTGGGGTCGACCCAGTTGACAGTGACGATGAGCAGAGAGACGGAGTTGGGAGTCACGTGCTGTGCGGAGGCAATGGAGTATTCGCGGCGCTTCATGGGGTTGACGATGCGAACGATGTCGTGGAAGCTTGGGTGAGCAGACGGGAACTCGAGTAGAATGTCGGCGTAGGTGACAGTGTCGACCTCCGCACGGCGCTTGAACTCAGTGGCACCCTCAGCACTCAGAAGCTGCAGAAGCTCACGCTTCTCACGCTCGTCATCAGCGAACTCAGCAAGCGACTCGTAGAAGCGCTTTGGTGGGCGACCGAAGATGTCGACGTTTTGCATAAGAGACTGGTAGACGGTACGGTTGACCAGAACGTTGGGGTCGTCACGAGACGGGACCTCGACGATCTCATTGGGGTTGAGACCATACCACTTGATAAACTCTTCAACTTGTGCCTCGTCGTTCTCTGCGTGGATCCCGAGAGCCTCGCCAATGGCGTAAGTGACGCCAGAGTTACCGAGATCGAACTCGATGTGGAAGATGTTACGGTCGTAGTTCTGTGGTGTGAGGCGGCGACGCTCCTTGACGTGAACAACACTGGTCTTAAAGCCAAGATCGGGACGAACTTGGTTCGCAGTGCCGAAGGCCTCCTTGAAGGCAAAGCCCTTGGCTGCGACTTGCCAGTCCTTGAGCAGGGTTGGTGGCTCGGCCTCGATGCGGTCGAAAGGAGCAAAGCTGTTGACGTTGATGTCTGAGGGGAGTCGAATGGGCTCAACGTCCTCCTCAACCGTGCCCCAAGCAGCAGGGACTTCGACTTCACGAAGAGCGCTCTCGAGCTGCTGGGTGAGCTTGTCGAAGACTTCTGAGCTACCGTTGATAGCAGCAAGCTTGCTCAGGCTAGAGGAGAGCAAGTCCTCACGAGCAACCTTCAAGAAGGCGAGCTGGGTGAGGTAAGACTCTAGAGATTCATCTTCAGCGACAGCCTCAGATGAAGCAGGGTCAAGGACGAAGAGCTGGATGTCCTTGTCCACGAGGGCCTTGCGGAAAGCAGGCGAGAGCTTCTTCTCAATGTCCTCGTTCTTCACACCGGGCAGCTTGACGATGATAGAGCTGTCGGGCTTGACGCTATTAAGAACATCAAATTCCTTCAGGATAGCAATGTCGCCAACGAAAGCGACATCGGCTTGCTCAACAGCATAAGGCGCTTCGATGGTGTAGTCGGCATTACGGATGTCGGTACGAGTAACACCGCCCTGCACGAGATTGTCGTGGCCGCTGCGAACGAAGACGTTCTTGGAAGAGTCACTCGAGAGAAGCTTGCCAACTACAACTGGGGCATTGGCGGCAGATGATTCGTCGAGGTTCCAGAAGCTGTACTGCTTGACGTCGGCAGTGTTTAGGATGTCGACGTACGAGCGGACCTCAGCACCCTCCTTCTCGGCGTGGATCTGACGGAAAGCATCGAGGAAGTTGCTGGGCGTCCAGACTTGCTCGCGCGAGTACTTGACATCAGTGACCTCGACGTCCCTGTCGTAGGCGAATTGGATTGACGCCAAGACGTCCGAGTAGAGCCTGGAGTACTCCGCAGGGTCAAGCACCGCGGCCTCATCCTTGACTTGGCCAAGAACGGCGATACGACGAGTGGTCTTGGGGAGTACCTCAAGGAAAGCCTCCTCAACGAACGGTCGGTAGACACGAACGTTGACGACACCGACCTTATCGCCATCTTTGGACAAGGCGTTGGCGACCTGAGCGGTCAGGGAAGCCTCCACGGTACCGAAAACAACAAGTACGCTTTCGGGCTCCTCATGACCGTAGTAGTCGAAGAGCTTGTAGTCTTCGCCAAGCTCGTCGTTGAAGGCTTGTAGCAGGCGCAGGACGCGACCAGCGGTGTCGGAGTGCTTCTTGTCAACCTCCGAGACGGCCTTGAGCACCGCCTCGTAGCTGTTGTGCAGCCTGGTCTGGTCGAGAGTATCGACTAGTCTCGCTGTTTCCCTTCCAACGCTAATGCCATCGTATGTGTGGATCGTGGGGAGGACGCTCGATAGGAGGGTAGCGAAGAGGGACATGTGCTGAGCCTCGAAGACAGACGGGCTGCAGACGAGACCAAGGCCCAGGTCTTCGGCGAGTGTGAGGGAGGAGACATAGTCGGTGACGAGGCCAGCGCTGGAGTTGGCGGAGTAGTCGACTGCGGCGATGTGGGCGGTCAAAGGGTTTGCGACCGAGTAGAGGGCGGATAGCTGGTCGAGCGAGGCGCGGAGGTAGTTCAGGGTAGAAGAGGAGGCGACGATAGACTGGGGGATATGGCGCTTCTTCAAGTCATAGTCCTTGGAGAACATGTATCCCAAGGCGATGGCACCAGCACCGGTCCTCGTCTCCAGGGAAGAGACACCAGTCTGGTAGCCGAAAGCATTCTTCTCGCCCTGTTCTTGCCAGTACTTGACTGCGACATCCAAGTCGAACGACTCAGCCGAGTATGCGAAGATCTTATCCGAGAGGGCGTATGCGACCTGTTGAACGAGAGTTTGGGCCGTGAGGTAGGTGGGGCCACCGATAGATTGGTAGGAGAGGTCCTGGCCAAACGGCAGACTGGACGACTTCTTGGAGAAGTCCTTGGGTGCGTTCTGCTCAGCCCCAGGGCCGGCAGACTCAGTCTGTTGGAAATGCATCTTGAATACAAGTATGCGCCTCAGCAACTCAGCCTTTCAGGAAAGGCAATGAGAGTCTCTCTTTGGGGTATATGAGAGAATGGGAGGTGCCACGACGCTCCGGAGGCTTCACCGTGGGAGTATATCCGTGTCGTGGGTTTGCCGCCTCGTAGCAGCCAAAAAGTGCCGTCGTCCAGTAGCGACATCGGCAGAAGACCGACCGAGCAAGACGCAATCCTTCACGGACACCATGATTGGCTCTGTCCAGATGCTCTAGCACGTCTTTCGGGCGATAGATTGCAAATGCGCGGAATGTCGCCTTGACGCGACGAGAATTTGGCCCTAGCGCGAATTGCGTGCTCGACACGCCAAGAGTCTGCGCACGTGACGGCGGGGAAATCACGGCTCTCGGAGATCTGATCAGCAACACCGTTTCATCCCGTCTTCCACTGTCCTTCGCGCAATGCATTGTCGCGCAAAACCTGGTGGACTCCCGTCGCGACACCGGACTGATTGATTACTGCATGCTCTACGAGTCTGGGTGACACTACACAGAGCTGAGCATGAACAACTAGATGCACGAACCGGGCGCATGCATACGCATCCAGTGCCAGACTGTATGCGCGCAGCGGTGCAGTATTGATTTGACCGTATGTGGTCTGTGTATACCTCTTGTACTCACTTCGTGTCGTACAAATAACATTGGACAACTATAGGCTACAGCACTGCGCCTCCATCATGGCTTCTTCATATCCTGCTGCTTTGCTTCTATCGAGTTCACTAGGATGACACGAAATTCCTAGACTGATAACTCCGCACTTTCAAACTCACAATGGAAGCCATCGGCCTAGTGGCCAGCATAATCACCCTCATCAGCGCAGCCAGCCATGCCGCATCGATCCTGGAACGAGTATTGGGCCTGCGCGGCGTTTCCCTATACGTCCTTGGGGCGATCAATGAAGTGACTGACTTCAAGGCTACTCTTGCTCTGGTACAGAAGACATTAGATGAGACCCATCAGCAGCTTCCGTCACCTTATCAGGTCGAATTTACCAGGCTTCTAGATCGAGCTTTGGGCCGAATTGAAGCCTTCGCTAAGTTTCTACGGAGAGATGTTCTGCGTGAGCGACAAGATGTGGTAGGTGCTCATAGAGTCACCGAGATGAAGAGACGCGTGAAGTGGATGGACGTGTTGGGACGTGGTCAAGCACAATGTCAGATCGATGCGTTCCAGCAGGAGCTCGCTTCCTTGAAACTCAGCTTTATATTGGCGATGAGTGCGACGAACATGTGAGTCGGTTTTCACTGTTCATATTCTCATGCTGGGATCACGATAGGAAGCTAGATCAGGCATTGTTCGTAGATGGAGCCAACCAGCTGACTTTGCGCTTTCAGGAAAACCACTAGTAAGCTTTATACCGTCATCCGAAATGTGACTATCGTTCGGGAGGGGGACATCTCAACAAAACCTATGGTTGAAGGCAATGCGCCCGACTTGCCTTCCGTTATGGAGAAGGCCACTTGCATGAGCACAATCTCATCAAGTACCGATAAGA